TGGATCACTTGGGTTGTTACCAACATCTGGTGAAAATTTCATGTCATTAGCACCTCTAGTAATATATTTACTGAGAAAAATGCTGACGTGTTCAATACTTATTTTACCTGCTGTACTTCATTCGTTTTTATTAAGTTTTTAATATTCTTTCATCAGAGCAGCATGACAGCACTTTTATTGTTACAGCAAAAGGTCAAAATCCTGATTATTATCTGCTGCTCTCTGGATCCAGCTCTAAATTTAACCTAAATTAACTTCAATGTTTCATGTTTAACATCAACTAAACACAAAATCTCAGGTAAAACTGTGGATTTATATGCCCCTTTCAATATGAGTGAACGGTCTGCATCAGGACTCAGAGTTCAGCTGCTGCTCTTCCACACCAAAACCAGCCAGATCAGGTGATTTGGACATGCACTGCAAAAACTGTCCATCTAACCAAGTTTTAAAATCTTATATCAGCCTAAAAGTCTTTTTGATCTTGTTTTGAGACAGATTTACTAAACAAGAACTGATTGTGTAAGAATAATAATCTTGTTTTCAGAATATGTAAGATTATTTGTCTTGTTAGTCTGAAAATTTCACTTAAATTAAGTAAAAAAATTCTGACAATGAAGTAAGAAAGTTTTACTTGGTAAGATTCTTGAAATAAGAAAAAAAAATTGAGTCAAATCAAGTATTTCAAGAATCTTACCAAGTAAAATTTTCTTACTTCATTGGCAGAAATTTTTAACTTAATTTGAGTCAAATGTTCAGACTAACAAGACAAATAATCTTACATATTCTGAAAACAAGATTATTATTCTTACAAAATCATTTGTTGTTTAGTAAATCAGTCTCAAAACAAGATCAAAAAGACTTTTTGGCTGGATATAAGATTTTAAAACTTGGTAAGATGCACAGTTTTTGCAGTGTGTATTAAAAAGAGCCCCCCTACACCCCTCCATATGGTCAGATATTGGGTGAACAGAAAGAACCAAAGATTAAACTACAGAAAACTAACAGAAAACTTTAGTTATTAGAACCAGATATTAAAAAAAACTCAACTCCCCAAAGTGTATAAAAAAGATGTTGGAGAAGAAAAACAGTGATGATGTAAACATTTGTTTTCACAAACTGATCCACCTGAATTCTCTTTACATTAAATCAAACTGATTTATTTAAATACATATTCATTTCATCACTAAATATTCACCAGTTGTTTTAGAAMTGTTTAATATGAAGAAATAAGTCAGACACAGTTTTCCAGTCTCTCCTCTTGCTTTCCACTCGATGTTTGACCGAACTTGGTGCTTACCCTGAAGCCCACCTGTCCTCCACACAAGAAAAARTCCCCTCAGATCATTTCTTTTTGTTGCTCCCAGCTGTACGCTTCAGCATTTTAATATTCTCACTTCAGTGTCTGTTCTCTCCCTCAAGCCTCTTTGGCCTCCTTTTTCACAGCCTTTCATATTTTCTATCGAACCCCTAGCTGTCTCCCCTCTGCAGACTTGCATCCAAACTAGACCTTCCTTTTTTTTTTTCTCTTTCCACACACAGATTCTCCTCGCCGTACCTCAAACCCGTGTCTGAAGACTACAGGAGACGCATGAAGGGCAGGAATTAGTACTCCCAAGGTAACACACAAATTGACAAGCCTGAATCCTTGGGGCAGCTTTATGGATTCTGTGCACAGCGTTGGGCAGGAGGCTCATGCAGCCATGCGAGACCAGCCTGTAGAAGGCTAAATATAAAACCAGGTCCAGGGATGTGTGTCGGTGCTATCTAACAATCTCAGGTGGCTACAATAGCAATATACAGTAAACTCAAGGGATRAAAGTGCACAGAGGAAATTGGCAGCTTGGTGGGGATTTCTTGTTTACGTTGCAACGATTGGGGAAGCTTGCAGGTGTAAGCATTTCCCTCTGATTTTTTCTATTGGCGCCCAATAAATCCCAACCTTGCCAAATAACTTAAATTGTTTGGTAAATGTAAATGCAGCGAACTGGCCCGCTCCCAGGCGACAAAATGAAAATCTGCTTTGATCCGAGGGGGTCGAAGCAACGCCACGGACCCCGTGTACGTATCGGATGTAATGAGCAGCAGCACACGGGAGCAGGAGGGAGCCGCTCCGTAATTTACTGCTGCATTCGTGTTGGCTCAGTCTATAATACCTTCAAATGGGTTTCAGTGGCCAGGCTCAGAGCTAGCCAAGCTCTGGTCCCGTTCTGATGAGACCTGCCCGACACAATGTGTCCACGCCTGGCAGAGACGTAATTACAGAAAGTTGAGCTGGTAAGTGACGCTGTTGGCATATCAGCTGGTAGAACAGAGGCGCAGATTCCTCTCAAGCCTTCCAGAGGCTTCTCTTCCTCTAATCCAGCCACACAAACGTCTCCCAGAGGAGGAGTCTAAGGGTAATAAAGCACCGAGGTAAACGGTTAAAGCAGAGGTACAAAAACCAAATGTTCAAAGAGAGATGAGATGTTACAGAAGCAGAAAGTTTCTCTTTGTTCTAATTACAAGAAGTGAATAATGACCAGTGAGACGTGTTTACAGAAGGTAAGTTTGTTAGGGAGTTATTAAAAGTGGACTTCACCATTGGTTCTGAATGGGAGACGAGTTCATCGAAGTCCTGTTTGTGCACAGAGCTGCATAATGGAGCCGTGTTAATGTGGGAACACAGAGATGTTACTGTGTGTCTCTGCGGGTACAGCCTGTCTGCTTCCTGTAAAACTGGAGTGATGTGGTGAGTCAGACGTCCAACAGCACAAGGTGTTCTTCACTGGGAAACACAAAGAGATGCTTTAAACATGAAGGATTTATCTTTTAACCAGGCTATGGTTCAAGCTTGAAACTAACAGTAAAATCAATAAGAGCAAATAAAACACTCTTCTCTCAAACATCATGTTTTATTCTGGCATGATTTTATCAGGATACCCCAAATCAAGGGGGAATTAGTTCTTTAATTACAAACTTTCCAAAAACTACAGAAAGTTAACTCTGTTTGTAAAATCTCTCATGAAGACTCTCCCATCAATCCAAGATGGACACTATAAACATTTACTAACTACAATTCAGTTTTACAGATACTGGGCAAAACTTTTATGTGGTATGTGGTGGAAATATATGTTAAATAATCCTGCCTAATTGCTAAGTTCACATTACCTTGACCTGATCCTGTTCGTGACACCAAATCTGTCACGGAAATATTCCACTTAAAGGGAGAAACACGTGAATAAAAGAAAAGGTGCACTGCGTGGTCTGGGTTTGGTTGCATGCAGTGCACCTTTTCTTTTATTCGCGTGTTTTTGCCTTTAGGTGGAATATTTCCACGACATGGTAGTAGCTGAGAGTCATTTAGAACACATAATCTAAGTGTAACATCTTGTAATATTGCATGCACTCACACAATGTTATTTTCAAGGTTTCACCAACATGACTACATTTAATTTCTCAAWATAAAATGACTTTTGTCTAAAACTCGGGCATGAAAAAATGGAGGGTGATAAACATTCCTTAAAGCACGTGTCAAACTTAAGGCCTGAGGGCCAATAGTGCCCTGCCATGACTTTTTGTGGCCCACGAGAGCTTCAAAGATGTATTAATGTTTTAAAAGAAACTGCTTTAAAGTAAACATTGATCACAAACTACATCTCCCATAAAGCATGTTGATTATTTTTCCTGCAAAATGACGGCATCCCACCATTAGGTGGAGCTGCACAGGGTTCAAAAGTGGCCAGCAAAATTCACGGTGTGGCTAGTTTTGCCCAGTTGGACTGGAAAGTGGGAATTTTCCCACTTACAAGACATAAATTTTAATTGGAATGCCCCTGCAGTGGGAAATCCCTGTCGAAAGTGGGAAAGTTCAGAATTCAAGATGGCAGCTACTCACAACTCAATGAGTAAAACTATTTTCCTTTTGCTTTTAATAGTATTTCTGTTTTATTTATTTCACATTTAGTCAGTCGTACACACAGTACTTTCAGTGTTTATAAGAGAACATATTAAAACACTGTTTCTATGCAGGAAATACCACATAGAGCTCAGTTATTGTTAGCAGTGCTCAGCGTTAGCAATGAGACAACAAATACAGTTTCTGTGTACTTGAGTCTGTAGGCGGCAGAAAAGTAGAATTTAAATTCTTCTGGTGCTGTGTAGAGATGTTTCTATTCTGTTTGAGTCATATTTTTCAACTTGTTCAGTTTACTCTTTTTATTTTGAGCTATTATGCAGGGGCGGAGCTAGACTTTTTTGCAAAGGGTGGCCAAGGTGTTTTTAAGGGGGGCTATAATTCAGCCAGTTTTGAATACTCACAACTGAAAAATGCTAATACAAAATCCAAGATTCTCACCCACTTGTTAATTGTTTGGAGGTAGCACTTGAGATGGCCRATCAGGTACCAGCGGAGGCACTTGCCACCCCTCTGCCTCTGTCCCTGCTTAATATCAAATTATTTGCGATAAGGTCGGGACTTACCATCTACAATTTGGTGGACTTCATTCTCCTCTGGCTCTGGGTCAGACTCTGGCTCCAACATGTAAAKCTGGATGGACAAGTCTTCCCTTATTCACATCTTTTAATTAAATTATAAAATAAAACATTTCTGCGCAGCTATRTAGTCAAAACCTTCTATCAAACTGGAACAAACTGGTCTGGAAGCTGGAGGGGGCGGGGTGTGAAGGGCCTCATTTGGATTTACATAAAGAGACAGCCTCAAAATGAGTTGATCTGATGCAAATCCCCAAAAAGGGGCGGGGCTTGTGGAGTTACAATAAGGAGGAATTCAGACCAAATTCCGACTGTCCACTCATTTAAGTTGGAGCAACATGTGAGATTTTAGAATGTGAAAAAGGGAAAATGCATAAAAATTTGATTAATTTTAATCCAACACTTAAGTCTTAACTTATTTTTTTGTTTATTGTTTTGTTTTTAGCATGATGCTTCAGTAAACAGCTGAAATCATGGTAAGAAACAAAAACACCCTGTTCTTTACTACATCGGAAACTTCTTGACTTATTGGGAATATTTTTCCTCTAAGATATRTTATTATTATTACGAAAAACAAAAGCCATCAGTTCAAAGACCCAGTTCCCTTATTAAAAATGGGCCTTTTCCAGGCTTTAGGCTGAGCCAGGCAGATCTCTGCCAGCAGGAAATCTACACACAATAGCTTTGATCAGAGCCATACTTCACGCTCACCTCCTCCTCTTCCAGACTTTAGTTTCCCAGTAACTCTGAAGCACTGCCTCCAAAAAAAAAAAAAAAAAACTTGCATGGGATCATTTCAGATTCCCAGAGAAACGTATTCATTACCATGCAAATTAGGACGGGAGTTGTTGACTTAAAGCATTCGTCATAGCTCATTTCAGTGTCTGTAAATGCAATTAATTGGACCTGRTCCATAAGAAAGAGAATCACTGGGTGATAATTGTCATTGTGGGGATTTCTCTTTAAAAAGTTTCTCCCTGCAGTCAAACGGAGCCGTGAAAGGAAGCAGTAGCCGCCGCGTCACCACGACGCAGGCCCCATAATGGGATAATAAAAGCTCTTTCATCTGCCCTGAATGGAGCGATACCCACAACAAAGCARCRGAAAACGATTTCCGACGTGATTTCTGAGAGCARCTCATTCAATTACCATTTCCAAACAATYTATGCAAATCAGCTACCTGCAGCTGCGACAGATGTGAACGTCTTAGTCTGGATTAGGGAGGAGGGGAGGGATGGAGTGAGTGTTGAGTGAAGAAGAAAAGGAGACCCGTTCTGTGAGGAGTGTGGAGAATAAATAAGCAGCGGTGTCATCCCCGCAGGGCCAGGCAGCAAACAGGGAATCAGAGCTGAGCGTTTCTACACGTTGGCCCGCTGCTCAGTCACTGTTGTGATAGTGTGTGATCCGGCCTGATGGGGGTCAGAGCCAGGTGAGACACAAACAGCCTGCAGCAAACACACACACACACACATACACACACACACACACATACACACACACACACACACACACACAGCTCAGCTAAAAAACACACACAGCTCAGCTAAAAAACAGGACATTAAGTTGCTTCTTCAGGTCGTAAAGTGTGAAGCTTTAGGATTTTTTGTCAAAACGTTTGATACAGATTCTCATTTAGTACTTTTAATTCTCCTTTTGTTCTCTTTTGTTATAAATAGTTTGATCAAAATGGTTCTAATGAGGTGAGATTCTATATAAGGTTTATGAGTGGTTACTATCTTACCTGTTGTAGATAGCTTTTTGCAGGGTCTAAAGGGCTCGACACACGGGAGGCGACAAACTACAGCGAACAGCGGCTGTCATCGCAGCCAGGGTGAAACCCGACACACGGGACGCGATAGCGATCGCAGCGTTGCGAATCGTGCTCTCAGGTCGCTTGTCTTCACGAAATTTGATTGGTTCTTGACTCTGAAGGGGGGTGTGCATTACGGACATGTACCGGTAAACTAAACAAATCTTGCGATGCTAATGATATTGAAAAACAAACACACATCAAGATACAGTTT